AAAAAACGACGCTCAACGTCCCTTGGCTTCAAATCATAAGGAACCCAAGTTCCTTGCTTTTGAATCATTCCCAACGCATGCAATCGCTTGGAAATGGCTTGGCGGGTAACTCTTAATGCTGAAGCAAGTTGTTCTTGCGTTTGGCATGGATCCTCATCGAGCAATGCCTTCAATTCAGCGTCTTCAAAGGTTTTTGGCCTTCCTTCACGCGGACGGTTGTCAACATCGAAATCACCGTCTTTGAAGCGACGGAACCAATCACGGCACGTTGTTTCACTTAGAGCAGCATCTCCGTAAACTTTTTGGAGCTCTCGATGCGCTTTCAGCCGTCGTTTTCTTCAAATGAAATAAGAAAATTAACACTTCCCGCAAATGACGATTATTTGGTATAAAATCAGACATTTTCACACAATCAAAAGTATAGGACGCCAAAACAAAATCACTAACGTGTCAAAGCGGTTTGTTTTATTAATAACTCAAAAAGTAAGCTTTAGATAAAATTTTGTCAAATAAAAAGTTGTATTAGAATTTAATCAAGAATATGTATTTTCAAGGGTAACAGGTTGTTCTGAATCATCTGTATAATGGGAGTAAATATGTGTCATCTGATAATTCAGATTGTTTTTAACTAACTTTTTAACTAACAACGAGGCTAAAACATCTCCCTGAACAGCATTTTGATTGCTGTTCAAGGAGATGTCCTTGATAACATATGTCAAGGTTATTGACCTTCAAGGGTGCTCCGTCTTTGTAAATATTGACCATAAAATTATTTAGAATAATTTGCTCAATATTTGACTTTCAAGAACGCTTTTGCAGAGAATTTTCGATTTTAACAGTAATTTCAAAAGATCGTTCATTGCAAGTTTGAATAAAATAACATTAATACAATCTATGTAGAACTAAATTTGTGTGTGTGTGATCATGTTAAAGAAAGGTAAAACGTACGACTCTATATGAAAGAATATTTATTATGCATCTAAATATATTTTTTCTTATAGATAAGTACCATTAATCGATTGAAGTAGGCCATTTTTGTCTTCAACATTGCGTTTATAAAATTACGATAAAAATGTTTGTCACGACACTGTTCTTTTATTCATATCTTACATTTTCTTATACATACTTTAATTTTTTATTTATTATGTATAATATGTCTACGAAGAAATTGTGATAAAGTTTATTGAGTTATAAAGATAATTGACTTGTCCAAGCAGCATCTTTAGCTACTTTTCTTAAAATATGAATAAAGAAATAGAAGGGATTGTAGTAAGGATAGTGATCTCACGTATAAATTTTAATAAACACATCAACACATTTGTCGCATAAGATTGCGCCGCATTTGTTTTTTAACACGTGACATTTTACATTGATATGTTTTTTGCTATACAATAAAAAACTGTAATTATTTACATCTAGGGAGTCATTCTCGATTTCAATAATTTTCACATATGTTATTAAGATCATTGTCCTGAGTAATGTTATATGAACGTTTTAGGCCGCGCTCATTGTTTATTAAAAAGTTATTAACAACAAAAGTATAATGAACAATATGCAATTTCTAGACACCATATGTATAAATATATGTTATATGTGTGTATGTGTGTTTGTCTGTGTGTGTACAAGTATCTGTATAAAGTATATGCTTTCGTACTATGTTGTATCCTAAAAGGTCACTAGTTCTTAAAAAGTTATAAAGAAAAGAAGTTTCATAAATAAACTCTTATTTTTCGATTTCATGTACATTTTCTTCGTGTTTTAAGTGTGTAAAAAGGAATCAGCTACGTCCCCTTGCAGGGAGAATGGCTATGCCCTTTCTTTTGCGGGAGGCGTAGCTTTCCCTGCATGCCTTCCCTGCATACACTTAAAACACGAAGAAAATGTAAATGAAATCAAAAAATAAGAGTTTGTTTATGAAACTTCTTTTTTTATAAATTTTTAACAAACAACGAGCGCGGCCTAAAATCTTCATAATATTTCTCAGGACAATGACCTTGATAACATATGTGAAAATTATTGAAATCGGGGGTAACTCCCTAGATGTATATAGTTGCCAAAAACTGATTCTTTTCTTTTTTCTATACATTAACATTTTTAATATACATATTTCAATACAGTAATCTATGTACGCGAATAAACTATCTCAAGATGGATTTTCGAAAAAAATTGTAGTCTCAATTTACCCCGTTCTCAAACTTCTTCATTTTAAGAAAATGAAAAAATTTGGAAATGTATGCACATATTTTGCTTGTTAAACTAAAAAAAACTTATAAATTCACACAAATTTCACTGCTACACGTGAAACAAATATTTTAGACGCATTTAACAATAATTACAGACAAGAATAAATTGTAAAATAATAGTAAATACATATTACAAAGTTTTTTCACTGAAATCAAAAAAATAATTTCTATATTTACATTTATTGTTTGTATTTTTAGGTTTTTTTCGTTAAAGTATTTTTTTATATTTGTACAAATCAAAATACATAATATCGACAAGACAGGAATATAGTACAGTTGTGCAGTTGCAACGAGTGCAATCTCTAAAATGTTGCATAGAAAATATATATGTGTATATATATCTCTCGTAACTTTCGAGAAGATTAAGTTTCCAGTTGAAAAAGCTCACGTGATAGTGTCGCTTTACACAGAACTGCGCACTCCATCGTTATGTATCTACATTTAGTGCACGTCTAATTTGACTTAAAAAGAGAAATTGCAGATTTTTGTCGTAGATATTGCACTTCACTATATCTGTTATTTTTCTTCGCTTTGTCAAATGTTTCATTTAGTTTTTATAGAAAGTATAGCTGTAAAAAAAACGGTTTATAAATTACATGATTATCTAACGTTTTTAAGGTATCTGTTGAGCCTGAACAGTGTATTTATATACACATATTTATATGATAATATGCATATATATTTCTTGTAATTTATTTCAGTAAACGATGACGACAACTAGGACGTTTATAAGCAATCACAGATACATTGAAATATGATGCTCGGATTACAGTTTCTTCTTAAGTTTGTTTTCTTCATCAAGTAGATTTTGCCACGTAACAAAAAGAGATTTTGTGAAAAATCAGTCTGTTGATATTTTTATCTAGTTCTTATAGGCATACATACAGACGCGCGCGCACACATGCACATGCACACGCACACGCACACACACACACACACACACACACACACACACACACACACACACACA